GATTGAAGTTGTCAAAGACTTCACGTTGCTTGGTTCTACAATCAATGCTAATAGAAGCAGCAGTCCGGACATCAGATGACGTACAGTACTGGGCAAATCAGCTGCAAAGGACCTCTTTCAAGTGCTGAAGAGCAAAGATGTCTCCTTGAAGACTAAGGTGTGCCTGATACAAGCCATGGTATTTTCAATCACCTCATATGCATGTGAGAACTGGACAATGAATAAGAAAGACCAAAGAAAAGTTGATGCTTTTGAGCTGTGGTGCTGGTGAAGAATGCTGAAAGCACCATGGACTGCTAAAAGATCTAACCTTAATCTGTCCTGGAGGAAGTGCAGCCAGAATGCTCCTTGGAAGCAAGAATGGCCAGGCTTTGTCTCACCTACTTTGGTCATGTTGTCAGAAAGGACCATTGCCTGGAGAGGGATGTCATGCTTGGTAAGGTGGAGGGTCGACGAAAGAGGGGAAGGCCCTCAACGAGATGGATTGACACAGTGGCTGTGGTGATGGGCTCAAGCATAGCAAGGACTGTGGAGCTGGCACAGGACCAGGTGGTGTTTCATTCTGCTGTGCATAGTGTCACTATGAGTTGGAGATGACCTGATGGCACCTGACAACAACAACAACAACAATTAATGACATCTGAGAATCTTTTAATGTGCTTATCAGCCATTTGTACATCTTGTTTGGAGAAATGTTTATTCAGGTCCTTTGCCTGTTTTTTGGTTAGTTTATCTTTTTGTTGTTGAGTTGTAGTACGTCTTATGTTCTGAATGCTAGACCTTATCAAGTATGTTTGCAAAATGTTTTCCCATTTTGTAGGTTGTCTTTTGACTTTCCTGATCTTTGATTTTGAATGAGTTCATTTGGTAACCAGTGCTCTGGGTTTGAGCCTGATTTGGGAGGGCAACTGTCCATCTCCTTCCTGCACTACTGGACACATTTCTGGAACTCACACAAAGAGGATTTTTAGAGCATTTAGGTCTCTCAAAACAGCAAAGATCACTGTAATTGGGCCAGAATGACCCCTTGAGAAGAAGGTCTGGGTCCTATGAGCCTCAGTTTTCCTATCTAGTATCATCAATACAAGGGCACTGGGCAGAAAGGAGGCTGAAGCCTGGCTTCATGGTGCATCTGGTGTAGTCCTGCAGGCCCCAGTCCTCCTCTGCCCCTCACTGTAGAGGCCTGCCCTTTTCCCTAAATATCTGGCTGCTCCCTTGCCTCTCAGGCCCAGAATAGGCTATTGTGTAAACCAGGCCCATGTGATCAAGATGGGGAAATGGAGCAGAGATCAGGAAACCTCTTGGGCTGTCAGAGCAATTAAACCTGTGAGCAATCTCCCAGAGGGACCTGGGACAAGTCTGGCGTTATGGAAGGGGCAGCTGGGAACTCTGTCCTCTGTGCAGTCATGTGACTCACTACCAGGGTATGCCCCTCATCTGTGTGTCATGCAGTCTTTCAGGAACCCTGTGAGGAAATGCACTCTAGATTGTTAGCCAGGACATGGGTCAGGCCACAGCTGCATGCAGGACCCAAAATAATAGTGGTTTCACAGGAGAGTAGCTTTTTTCTCTAGACAGTGATGTCTCAGTGTGAGGGAGTTTCCAGAGTATAACCCTTTCCACATGGTCCCAAATGTCTTCCTACTTTATGCATGTCCCAGATGCTGGAAAGAAGAGAAGGGAAGGAAAGACAAGCCCTTGACCAGATGGTACACACAGTACTTCTGCTTCCTTCCTATTGGCCAGAATTTTTCATGTGGCTACACCTACCTGCAATGGATGCTGGGATATGTAGCCTTCATCCTACGGATGGTGCACCCAGCTAAACATCAGAGGTTCTCTGGGTAGAATAGAAATTAGGCAGATTATTAACCTATCTGCCTTAGTTTCTTTATCTCTAAAATGGGAATTATAATAGTCATTTCTCATATAGGGTGGTTATGAAGCTTCAATGAGTTATATTTATACTTATACTGTGCTGAGCATGGATGGAGAGCTCAGAACTGTTTACTGGTGTTGTCACTTACCATCAAGTCAGCTCCAACTCATGGCAACGCACATCCAGCAAAAAGAAACATTGCCTGGTCCTATACCATCCTCAGAAGCTCTGGTAGCATAGTGCCTAAGGCACTTGACTGCTAATCAGAAAGCTGACGGTTCAAACCCACCAGCCACTCCTCAGAAAGAAGGTTGGGCAATCTACTTCCATAGTGATACCTCCTTGGAAACCCAAGGAGGGGTCGCTATGAGTCGGGTCCCACTTGACAGCACATAACAACATACTATCTTCATGATTGACTACTGATATGCTCCAATCTACTGTTGCAGCCACTGTGAATTTTGAACCGAGGGCTTCCAACCTAGGGGGCTCATCTTCAGGCACTGTCTCATACAATACTCTGCTGTGATCCATAGGGTTTTCATTGCCCAAATTTTTGGAAGTAGATCATTAGGCCTTTCTTCTTAGTCTGTGTTAGGCTGGAAGCACAACTGAACGTGTTCTGGTGACTCTGCTGGCATTTGAAATACTGGTAGCATAGCAGCATGCTATGACATGTATGACAAACTGACATACAAGTATTGGTCAGTTGGCTTTTTTTATTTTTTATTAAGTGAGATCCTGCATGTAAAGCCCCTGTAAAAAGGAACACAAGTATATGCCCAGTAAATGGTGGGGCAGTTGTTCCTGCTTTTGCTGTTGTCAGTATTGACACCAACAGTATTGACTCACCAACTCCCAGGCACCGCACTCTCATGGGCCTTCCCCCCAAATAGGCCTCCTTCAGGCCTTCCACACCCTCACTCTGCAGCCTCAGCCCGTGCAACAGCTCCTAGTGCTGCCTGCCAGTCCCTTGGCTGCTCAGCCCTTGAGCAGATGGTCTGCCCTGTAGGAGTCATGCCAGCTCAGCTGCAGGAAGTTGCTTATCCTCTCGTGCAGCTTTTCACAAACAGTCTGGTTTGCAGTGCTTGGTCTCTAGCATGGGTAGGACTCAGGAATAGCAGCTGGGAGGTGACCCCAGGACAACTGGCCCCTCTTGGCTGGGTTCTGGATTCTCACCAAGGCCTGAAGTGGTAGTCACAGAAGGCGGAAGCAGCCCAAGGAGTACAAGCAACACCATTCCACCTTCATGAGGCAGCAAGGGGCATGTTTCCTTGCAGCATCCCTGCCACAGCACCTATGACAATTCTCTGCCAGCCTCCAGCCTGTGACTTCCTGCCAAGGAGAAGAGAAGTGGGTAAAGGGATAAGGCTCCTCACACATCTGGAAACTTCTCTGCCAGACTCTGTGGGGCATATGATCCCCTGAACTGCCCTTAGAGGCAGGAGGAGTAAAGCCAGAGCCAGAGATACAAGGAGAGCAGGGCAGGTGCCAGAGCAGCCCCACCACAGGAACGTCAGTGTCAGGACAGACACTCTGAAGCCAAGTAGGCTGGTGGCTAAGGAGGGCAGACAGGCTTCCCACCCCAGAGGCACAGCACCCAGGCTTGGAGCCACAGCAGCATAGGCTGCCCTCTATTTTGCTCCACATGGAGCCACCAGTCAGACCCCGCCCTTTTAGGTCCTTCTAGGACTTTTTAGGCCTTCACAATGACCCACATTCCTGTAAGCCTCCCACTCCTCCAACAGGTGACTGTGCCCCATGCCTCCAACTGGGACACTCACTAACTGTCCACCCAGAGGGCTACTGGGGAGACAGAGAACTAAATCTACATGATAAACCAAAACCTCTTCAGAGCCAAGGTGGAGTGGAGTCATCACAGTCAATACAGATTCACATTTGAAGTTTTCTACAACATTTGTGTGTATATGAGAAGCATGGAACAAAGCCAGGGTGACAGGCTCCCAAACAGGGCATCCCTAGGCCATCAGAGCTGCTGTGCACCATGGGGCTTGGGCAGGACTGGCTTTATTTTGTTTCACACATCGCTTCCAGCCATGGGCATCTGACAATGGTGAGAAGAACAGCCAATTGTTGCATGAAGCCCCTACTCACCCACCAGGCGCTGTTCCAAGCATTGTATGTAAAATTAACTTATCTAACACTTGCAGTGACCCTGGGAGGAAAGTACTGTACACTCACATTCTGCAGATGACAGAACTGAGGCCCACAGAGGTGACGGAGCCTCCAAATTTCTTGTTCCTGCCTCTTAGCCACCCCTCGGGCAGAACCCATGACTGCCCAGCGAGACTAGTGGGAACTTTGATCTTGCCTCCCCACCTTGCTTTCAAATGTCAAAGGGGAAGGGAAGAACCAGGAAGGTGAGCGCAGCCCTTTGGCCAGCCCTTTGAGCTGGCAGCCAGCACTGACCGGCAGCTGGCATCTCTAGTGGTTGTCCAGTGCCAGCTGTCCAGGACACCAGTTTGCATTTTCCAGGGTCCCTGTGGATGGCCACACCACAGTGCCCTGATGTGGAAGATGGGTGCCAATTTGACCACACACATACCCATGCACACACCACATCTTGTGCTGCCAGCATCCCTAAGCCCATAGAGTCCCTCAGCCCCAGGGGGCTCATGCCTCCAGCCCTGCCCCACCTCCTCCCATGCTCAGGATGTCAGGCACACCTTCACTGGGTCTGGGCTGAGCAACACCTCGAAGACTGATGTTCCATCTATTCTGCTACAGATCCCAGATCTTGCCCTCAGAGATTCCCCTTCCCACATGGTTTGAGAGAGAAGGCCTTGGCCCCTTTTCTGTGCTTCCCAGTCTTCTTTCGGAATCATCTGTCATGAGTGTGGCCTTTAGGAAGTTGCAGGAGGGGGCTGACAGAAAGACGTTAGCCTTAACTACAATACATGTTCAACTCAAACTCAATTTAAATAGAAGCCAGCAGTCCTGACCCACTGTGCACCCTCCAGGTGTCACTGTACTCCCACTGCCCACACCCTCAGCCAAGCCAGCTGGCCAGGACAGAAGGAAAAGCACATAGGAAACCTATCTGGCCTGGTAGGGAGAGCCCAACCCAGAGCTGACAGGCACCCTCCTTCTTTCCTTCCAGGTGGACCTGTACAACGCAGACCCACTGATCTGCCGGGCGGGGCTGAAGGTGTGCTTTGGCATCCAGCTACTTAATGCAGTCTCACGGGTGGAGCGTGCCCTCCCCAAGCTGACCCTGCCCTTCCTGCTGCTCCAGGGCTCTGCTGATCGCTTGTGTGACAGCAGGGGGGCCTACCTGCTCATGGAGGCAGCCAAGAGCCAAGACAAGACACTCAAGGTATGTACAGCCACTGCCCTGCTGCCCAGCAATGCGGAAAGGCCATAGCCCTTCAGGTATATCAACCTGACCCTTGAGAAGTGTGGGGCCAGCCTGGCCCATGGGAAGCAGATGCTTGGAGCACACAGAATCTATGAATTCTCAGAGGACACACAGTCCTTTATGGTTATTCCAAGTGGATGAGTTTGAAGAGAAGGAAAGAACAGCCAGAAGGTATATGGTCAGGAAATAAGCCATAGCTGGGCATTGAGCAAACCAAATCTCCTAAAAGAAGGTCCTCAGTTTTGCCTGCCCATGACTCAAGGGTATCAGCTCTGGATGGCTCTCCTGAGAGCGCTGGGCACACATGGGCTGGCTGGACAGAGCAGGGTCTGGTCTGCAGGGTGATCTTTGTAAGAGCTGGGCCTTCAGAGAGAGGGGCCGGGGACTGAGCCTATAATCTGATCATGCAGCATAGTCGGTGTAAGAGGTCTGGGGGACTAAGCAAGAGGCCTTTCAAGGTGGAAGGCAGTGTTTGGGGCTAGTGAAGTGCTCTTTCGTTTGTCTGGTTGAACTAGGAAGAACTCCCAACTGGGTTGTGGGAGGGGAGCTGAGAGAGAGAACTCTTTCCTGAGCACTGTCTCTGCACCACGCAGGTGACTTTTGGTTCCTAATATGGCCTTTTCTGGCCTATGGTCAGGTCACACACACCATAGGGGGTACCATGCTCATCCTTGTCCTTGGGATTGGTGCCCCTTTGGCACTGTGTGTTGAGGCCCTGGGGCCATTGTCATTTTTCACTAGGTTACACAGAGATTAGGTAACTCACTTAAGGGATCTATCAAGATTCAGACTCAGATCTTTTACCCCAAGCCCACCATCCTTTGTAGCACAAGGACATGAGAGACCCCACCCCACCTGTGCCCTCCCCCAATCTCAAGGGCTTGGGATACTCCACCTTGCCCATGCACACACCCCCATCTCAAGGAAGTAAGAAACCCTACCCTGACTGTGGTCTCCCCATCTCAAGGACACAGGAGACCTCATCCTGCCCTTGGGTACCCTAATCTCCTGTGTTTCTCCTAATTTCAGATTTATGAAGGTGCCTACCACGTTCTCCACAAAGAACTTCCTGAAGTAACCAACTCTGTCTTCCATGAAATAAACATGTGGGTCTCTCAAAGGACAGCTGCAGCAGGAGCTGGGTCCCTTCCCTGAGCATACTAGTCAGCTACCAGCTCATGATCTGGAGAAAGTGTGCAGAGGAAGGGCAGAACATGGCTTCTCAGATGAGGATTTAAAAAAAAAAAAAAAAATCACAAATTGGAGGAATCTCTAGCATAAATTTAGTGGGGGGGAAAAAAAGACATTCTATACACCGTATGCAAAAAAAAAAAAAAAAGTGGTAATAGGCAGTTTTCAGAAGAGGAAATTTGCCAAAATGTCCTTAAAATCAGCACAGCCTCTGCCCCGCCTGGGTGGCTCCAGCATTCCTGTCGCTCCTTGGGATTCCAGGCTGCAACCATTTGATCCAAAAGCTCACTAACCAACTGCCCTCCCAGCCCTGCTTGGTGGCCTCTCTGGCTGTATGATGTGGGGGCTGCTGTCCCCAGAGGCCAGCTCCTGAGGCAGACTATGTGCCCCTCTGAGGCCCAGAAGATGCTCAAACCTCTTCAACATGAGTGCCGTTCATGACCATGTCAGCTCCTTTGCAGCCCAGCTCCAGGCTGGGCTTAGATGTGGGAGGGAGGCTTAGCCCAGGAAGAAGAGCAGGCAGGAGATCAGTCTTTCTCTTCTCTCTAGGCCCCTTTCCTTCCTGGTAGGGGAGCACCACTAATGGATGTACCCAGAGTCTATCTTCCTCATTTAACCTTCCCTGATATTATGAGAGAAAAATTGTATTGCAGATGAAATGTTTAATATATAATGTATATCCTAAAACATAGACTATTTGGGTGGGTGAACAGAACCAGAGGAGCCTGAAGGAACTTGAGGCCAGGGCTTCCCACCCAGCAGAGGGGTCTTTTCCAAGGTTAGCTTTCTATGCACTCCCTCACTGCTGCCTTGTGCAGGTGGATAGGGTGAAACCTGCTTAGGGCCCAGCAGGTTCCCATGTGTAGCTGTTCTGAAAATAGGACCTCAGGCTCTTTGCAGCTGGCCGTGGTCCAAGCCCCTGGAAAGGGTCTTGCGGCTGGTGCTGCTGCACAGGCAGGCAGGGCCGAGGGCAGAGGGAAAGCAGGTACTCTGTGCCTGGGAGAAAGGCCAGGCTAGGCCTTTCCTGCAGTGAGCGCAGCCAGCGGGGAGTTCCAGAGGGAGCGTCCTGAAACCCTGACCTGGGCTCGGCCTGCCCAGATCTGCAGCAGGAGCTTGCAGAGCTGGGTGCACAGCTACCTCTGGTGGCGGGAGAGGAGAGTCCCAATGCGGCGGGTGCCCACTGCTCCACCTGCAGGCCACTTGCCCCACCAACCGACCCCAGAGCAGGTGATCAGGACGCCTGAGCCCAGGCCAGGCCTGGCCTTTCTCAGGTGTCCATCTCACCCTGCACCCAGCCCTGCATTCTTACAGGCAACAGCAATAAACGAGGTTACCGGCCGCCCGGCACTACTTCCACTTTCAAATGGGATTTTCTTTACCTCCTCAGGCGAATATGTGGCAAATAGGGCTTTGGGTAGAGGGCTGGGTTGTCCACCATCAGCCTCGGCCCGTAGGTTTTTGTTCCCGTACAGCCACGGGAAGCAGCCATCACTTCGTTAGCCAGTGCACCTCAGAACATCAAGGCTGGGGGCAGGGGACTTGAGCAAGAAACCCCACTTCCTCCACCACCCATGCCCTGCTTTTCTCAGGGCTCATCCTGGGTTCCTAGGTGAGGGTTACTTCATGCCTGGGACCCAGGGGCCTGTGTTCTCCTGCCTCATGAGTGTGCCAGCTCTCCTTAGGCCAAGTACCCAAGCCCCAAGGACAGGAGGGACGGGGCTTGGATGCTGGCCAATGGTGTCCTCACAGAGCAGTTCCAATGGCCCCACCTCATTTCTGTCTCCTCTTTGTAGGAGAAAATGTAAAATATGTGCTGACAGAGGTCAGCCTCACTGGGCAGCTGCTGGATGCTTCTCAGCTCAGGAGAGGCAGAAGTTCCATCTGCAGCCCATCTGGCACCAAGCTCAGGCTTGATGCTCAGACTCTCCCGAGCTGTGAGAGCACTGGCCCAGCCTCTGCAGTCACGTCCCTTGAAGCGTGGCAGTGCTATTTCCCAGTGAGTACCCTGTGCAGGATAGGCCAGGGACCCTCAGCAACATGAAGTTATTTATATGAAAGCTCTTACAAAGGCACAGAAGCATTCCTTCACATTGACTTGTCTGATTAAAGAATCACCTACATTCAAAAGCAAATCATCTGAAATTGGAACTCTCATATACACAGGGAGAGAGGCAGGGCTTGGCACACCACACTCCACTGAGTGGGCAGCCCCTTGTCTGAAGCCATCAGGTCCACTGCTGGGGCCCATTCTCAGCATTCTCAGGGGGCCAGCACAGCCACGCAGAGGAACCTGAGTTTGGAAGGGGTGTCAGATCACATTTTTCTAACCTAGAGAAGGAGGAGGAGGAAGACAAAGCCAAAAGGCCTTGGAGGAAGAGGCAGCCAATCCCAGTTCCACCTAGGAGAAGGACCCCAATAATGGGGACACTGGCCCAAGCCCTTCCTGTTGAGCTCAAGGCCATACATGCCTGAAAGCCTATATGGGAAAGATGCTGCCTACAGCCAGCAGAGGTCCCACCTCGCCTTCACTGGGATCCTACCCACCTTTGCAGGGATGAATAGTAGGCAGCATCCTCCCCCACAGTGGCCCTCAGCTTCTGGAAGGCACTTAAGAGCATTACAGGATGGGTGGCCCACCTGGCCTGCTCAGTGCTCCATCTAGGGTCCATTGGCTGTCTCACAGTCTTTTTCTTTCTCTTACTGATTGCTAACATAGTCCTATTAAAAGATCACCATGTTTTCCCAAACAATTTACCAGTTTGTAATTGTCACTACAGCACCACCAAGCCCCTACATATATGCTGTGCGTGGGGGCCATATGTTTCACTTTAAAACTATGTACACTCCAGTTAATCCTAATAAACCAGATGTTTCCTGAGTGCTGTCTGTCTGTCTCCTTGGGCCAGGACCCTAGACTACATTGTGCCCTGCAGAGAGAACAGGAGGTCTTCCGTGGTACAGTATGGAGAGTCTTGGCTGGCTGCCTACATCATGCTGGTCTCCCAGGATAGACACAGGCTATACCCTCCAGCCAGCCTACCTAGGCGAGTCCCACTCCTTTCATCCTCACTCAGGGACTCCTGCCCCCGGGCCAGGCTCTCCCTCAGGCTCACTTCCTGTCTCCTGCAATTTGCGGTGGGTGGTTCACACCTATACCCAGGCTCTCTGAGCTCTAGACTAGGATGACTGTCCATGTCAGTGTCCAGGAACAAACTCCTGACTTCTACCCTCAGCCTCTCCATCACAGGCTGTGGGGTCCCAATACCACCCTGTCTCCACATGGGATCCATCAGCAAATCTTGTCAATGCTACCTTCAAAATACGTGCAGAATTCAATCACTGTCTCTGACCCCCTTGACTGTCCCCATCACTACTGCCTTAATAACACACAACCTTCTCAGAGGTGCTGGTGCCCCCTTTAGTCTGTTCCCACACAGCCACCAGGAGGTGCTGTTAATCATGAGTCAGGCCAGGTCCCTGCTCAGCTCATTGTGCCCCCAACACAAACACACATACCCTGTCCCCATCTCATCCACAAAGGACCTCCTGGCCCTGCCTGCCCCCCTGCCCACGATCACTGTGCCCACCCCTGCTAGGAGCTCCTGTACCACCTTCAGGACCCTGCCCAGATACCACTTCTCCCAGTGTTCTGCCTGACCACTTTATATCACAATATCTACTCTACCCCTTTCCTGCCTGTTTTCCTCCTGCACGTCAACTGCCATCAGAAAATTGAATGTTTTTCGTGCTCATTTGGGTACTGTCTCTATGTACTGGAACATGGACTCCAGAAGGATGACACCAGTAGCTGGACCCCTTCTGGTTCCCAGTAGGTGCCCAGTAGATATGCTTAATGAATGAACGAGTAAGGGAATGCTTCCTGGCCAGGGATTGAACTTGGCAGGGCCGGTTTCAAGGGTGTGTGGCCTATACTTCACAGGGCCTTGCGCTCACAAAGGGTGCACACTGGCTTTAATGCTCCGTTGCTGTATTGGAATTCTTAATAGTTTTGAACAAGGAGCCCTATGCTGTCATCTTACTCTGGGCCCTGCTAATATGTAGCTAGTTGTTGTAAGTGACCAGAGTCAGTTCCTGCCCTGTAGACCCAGCCCTGGGCAGAGCACCCTCTCATAGGTGGACAGACAGAATGTTGTCCATTCTCTCAAGGCATAGTGGTCTTCTGACGTCTAATTGCATCCAGCCTCCTCCCCACAGCCTCACTTTGTTAAAATTACAGCCAATGTTCTAGGTGTGCTTCACCTAGCTGGCTTTCATCCCTCTATGGTGAACATTCCTGCCTTTCTTGGAAATCTCCCAGGCTCTGTGCTCCACCTTGGGGATTCCGTGGTTAGCAGGTGGGCAGAAAATTATGTGAATCCTACACAACGGAGGACTGGCAGGAAGGACAGAAGCAATTACAACAACACGTGGGTGAAGTGACCCTACCAGGTCTGTACAACTTTCTAGGGAAGCTCCATGGAAGAGCTGAGAGATGAGTAGAGGCGGCCAGGAGGAGACAGCAGGGAAGGAAGGATTCTAAGCAAAGAGCATTTCATCAAGCATAGTTTAGTAAAAGGGCTCTTTACTGACATGTTGGCAGAGTTAAAGGGGACAATGCAGTGCTCTAGGACTAGTTTTTGAAGGAGCCCAGTGAGTGGGCTGTTATTGGAACACAGACAAAGCAGGAGAATGAGCTGCTGGGCAGGGCTATGGCCTTAGTAGAGGACACAAGCATGACTAAGTGGAGGCTGGCAGGGAGCCTCCACCCTCCTCTTCTCTCTCGTCTCCCAGGTTCTTTTCCTCATTACTCTGCAATCTTGAGCACTTAGTCTCCCATCTCATCCTGGTTTAGACCATCTTAGGATGGCTGCCTCAGCTCTAGCCACCACATCTTCATTCCAGCTGAAGGAATGGGAGAAAAGGAAAGGGGCAGACATATTCCTTTCAAGGGAATAAACCAAAAATCACATCTAATAATCCTGCTCAGATCTAGAATCTGGTTGCAGGACCACATTTAAATGAAGGGAGGTTGGGAAGTGAGCCA